CACCCACAGAGGGCCCTTCCACCCCCCACCATCCTGTGATCCATCAGAGAAAAGCAGCACCCGCAGCCTTTCCTTAACCTCAGGGTGCTGGGGCAAAGAGACCTCCTGCCTGGCCAGGCGCTGCCGCTGCACCCTGGGCACACAAGCGCTGCCCCGGCCTACAGAAGACTAAAACACCACTCCCAGCTCTGATCAGAGATTTAATTCAGTAAATTTTCTACGTCAAGTCCACTTTGAGAAGACAAAGTACACCAAGTGTGAGCTTCACACCGCATGGGAGATGGCTCAGCCTGGGCAGCAGCGTGCCCCTGAGCAGCTGTCTGACACCGTCTCAGTCCAGCGCTGAGAAACCCCCAAGAGCTTTGATTTTCTCCAAGCGGAAATCGTCTGCGAGAGGAAACGTTGGCGCTGAGCTCAACTGCCCCAGCGTTTCAGTCAGTCACAGTGAAAAGCAGCACAGTTCTCCTTCAAAAACAAAGCCCTGACTCTGTCAGCAAAGCAACCTTCTTCCAAACATTTATTAACCCGAACACGTCCCTGTGGACAACCACCAAACCTCCTGGAGCTGCCCGTGACAGCCCCAAGGCTGCGGGCAGCGCGTGCCACCGCGCATCCCCGCCGTTCAGAGCCAGCTGAGCGACGACGCTGCCCACTGCTTGATGTCCATCGGGCAGTTGGGGTAGGCCTGCAACGCGTCCATGATCTGGTTGTTGTCCAAAAGCAGCTTCATGAGGAGGTACTCCCTCTGCGCGCGCACCGACGGTCTCTCTATTGGCTTCACCAGCTCCAGCTGCAGTAAGTGTTCAAACGCCTAAAAACAGAGAAACAGAGACGAGAGGGCAGTGTGCAGTGCTGTGTCCAGTGCTGGGATCCCCAGTTCAAGAAAGATGAGGAGCTACTGGAGAGAGTCCAGTGGAGGGCTACGAGGATGAGGAGGGGACTGGAGCATCTCTCCTACGAGGAGAGGCTGAGGGAGCTGGGCTTGTTCAGCCTGGAGAAGAGAAGGCTGAGAGGGGACCTTCGAAATGCCTCTAAATATCTGCAGGGTGGGTGTCAGGAGGATGGGGCCAAGCTCTTTTCAGTGGTGCCCAGCGACAGGACAAGGGGCAACGGGCACAAACTGAAGCAGAGGAAGCTCCAGCTGAACATGAGGAAGAACTTCTTCCCTCTGAGGGTGACGGAGCCCTGGTCCAGGCTGCCCAGGGAGGCTGTGGAGTCTCCTTCTCTGGAGATATTCCAGCCCCGCCTGGACGCGGTGCTGTGCAGCCTGCTCTGGGTGACCCTGCTTGGGCAGGGGGTTGGGCTGGGTGACCCACAGAGGTCCCTTCCAACCCCCACCATGCTAGGACTCTGTGGTACCCAAAGCACCATGTTTCAGTTTGCCCTCCAGCCCGCACCAGGCTGCAAATCGATTCCGCGCCCCTGTCAGCCCTGCTGGGACTGGGCTTAAGAAAAGCAGGTTTTTGATGTGGTGAGATTAATTTAAATTTTGGAGACGGGGGCAGGGGGGGGGAAATAATTACATTTCAGGCTCACCTTCATGACAACTGGCTTTTCGAAGTTGTACATACAGGGCGCCTTCCGCTGTATGAACTTCTGGAATTCTGTGCCAGTAACGGGGGAGGGGAAAAGTTACTTAGAGGAAAGTTCGGCGATTCAGCGCATGGCAAGCTCGCGCATGGCTCTCACCGTTGTAAACCATCTGGAAGTTAAATGGTTCTCCTTCATAAACATCATTCAGGTGTTTCATAGCTATGATTAGGCAGATTTCCAGCACAGACAAACCTAGAGGGAAAGACAAAAGCTCTGAATATTTCTCTTAAGCGTATCAGAAACGCAAGCAGTTCATGTACTGTTCCTATTCCTCTGTTTTCACAGGCTGTAGGCCTCATCTATTTGCATTAAGTATCTTCATGATGTAAAAAAAAATCCCAGAATTGGAGAGATCAGATAAGAGAACATTGGTTTTCCCGATATTTCAAGTAAGAACGTTGAGGAATGGGCTGCTTCGATCAAAAAGCGAGACATTAAGTGTAAGGAAAACCCATCCTTGCAGACAGTACAGCATGACAAGGAATTCTGAGCAGCACCAAGACAATCTCCCCGCTACTGCCATGAACCGAGAGCTGGAGGAGGCTCCTCGCTGTCCAGAGCGGGGAACCAGCCCCGCGGTACGCAGGGGACCTTGAGCGTCACGGGGCCAAGGCAAACCGGTGCCTGTCGAATCCGGGAGCCGCGCAGACGCACTGGGACGGGTGAACTTGTGCTGCTCAGGTTTCTTCTCACCGTCTGCCGGTCCCCGCGGCATTCGCAGCAGCTCAGC